GATGGATGGATGGATGGATTTAAGTTTGCTTGTTTAGCGTCGTCACAGTTGCTAGGTGACATGACGTACGCTGGGGTAAGGAGGGGAGGCTAGACCGTCCAAATTCACAGCCTCTTTTTTTCCGGTCTTCCCGGTCTACCAAGGACCCGGCCCGCCGCGACCGGGGAGTCTGGGTCCTCCGGAGGACCCGGACTGTCGTTTTGGATACAGCCTATGAGTGTTGCAGTCACAAAAAGGTTCTTCTTCTCTTCTCCTCTTCTCAATAATTTCGTTTCTGTGGCTGGCTCAATCTAGTGTTGAAACTGAGAAGTGCAACAGAGTTGAGCTCAAACTTATTGTGCGGGCGAAATTCAATTATATTTTCAGAATTTGCTACAGGCCAATAAAAACTGGACCGCGGGCCACAGTTGGCTCGCAGGCCATAGTTTGGACACCCCTGTTGCAGTCTGACAAATCAGCAAAACTGTGACATGATTTTTCTGAACCATCAGTGTGTTGTAGGGCATAAAGAGGGTGAATCTTAACAATGGGACATTTAAATAAAGATGGTAATTTTCTACACTGGACAAATAAACTATGAGCTGCTAATAAAAGGAATAAAACCTGGAGATACAAGTTAACTTTTTGTTTTTGTTTGCCCAGACTAAAAAAAAGGAAAAAAAAAAGAAAACAAGAATTAATAATTGGGTTAGTCATTTGTAGCATTATATTTTCCATTTGGTCAGAGAACAGTCAGAAAAATACACCAATGATTAGCTGTCAGGAAGAACACAAAAACATGGATCAGCATGATTTTGTTTCCCCACAGTTACTTAAAGAGAAGCACACAATGTGATCCATCAGATCAAACTGAGGATTAAGTCAAATTTGGTCAAAATGACCTCAGCACATTTTCAGATTCCTGCTTTTTAAGTTACATTTTGTTACTTGGATCATCCAGAAATCAGGAGCAGTTCCAGAGATATGACTTGATTTGTCTTCCTAATCAGGATAAACTGTTAATTTTTGGTCTGAATCCCTTTTTTAGATTATTCTAATGAATCTTTTTTTGCTCAAAATTGTGTTTTTGGACTGTTCAAAAATGGGTTTCACAAAATTCTTCAAGATTAGATTTCAGATATTTCCTGTAAACGACTCAGATAAGGTGTTTATTCATTATATTTTGACAAAATGTAATTGTTGCAAACGTTTTAACCAATGAGCTGCCTACTTCTCCACACACAGCACCAGTTTGTGACTTAATCCTCGATTTGATGCCATGGGTTACATATAGAGAACTAAAGATCAATTGAACACTTGCTGTAGAGCGTTGGAGTTTATGTACAGTAATCCCTCATATGAGTGAAAATGAGATTCAGATTTTGGCAGATAAACAGCACAAAATAGTCACTCGAGTTAAACACAAGCTATCTAAAAACTGGAGTGAAACTGAACACACCAGTAGGTTTGGTGTTGTGATTTGGTTTAGCTACCTTTAGTGAAGGATTGTGTGTTTACTGTCACACCTCACTTCACCAGGAGACATGAGCCAGCTGGCACAGAGACTTGTGGCCACGTTTTCGTCTTTGAAAATCAGGCTCGTCTTCCTCTGCGGAAGAAACGCGGCTCAGACTTTGATATTTTCCAAACCACACTGATGCCGAGTTGTCACATTAAAATCCCGAGATATTTAACAGAACTGATTGTTTCTGTTGTGTTTAGTGAAGCCCCAGAGGATTATGATTCCTCCTGAGCTTTACTTTGGCTTGTCCTGATGCATCTCAGTAATCCAGGTAAAAAATCAAAAAGAAAAAAATTGTATAGGTCTTCTGGACGGGTTCTTCTCTAATGAAACGTTTCTGCTCCAGGCCCAGTGTGGTTTGTTTTCTAAACATGATGTCCCAGTGGCTTTCAAACCCCAAAACACATTACGGAAAAAGGCTGGTTCACCCCAAAGA